GGGGGTCCTGAAATTTACAATTTAAGTAAAGCCCCTGATGATCTTTCTTTCCACGTAGAGAAAATCACTGTAGTACCTCTGAGTCTGGAGAAGAAGATTTTTGAAATATTGGTTAATTTTCCCTTTGGGGCCCCGCCCTGGCCCCAGAGGTTGGGGTAGGAATCCCAATTTTACAATTTTGAAGCCTCATCTACCAAGGATGATTCTGACCAAGTTTGAAAAAAATCCATCCACTGGTTCTTGAGAAGTTGAAAATGTAAAAGTTTACGCACGACGCACGACGGACGACGACGGACGAAAAGCGATTGGAATAGGTCACTTGAGCAAAGCTCAGGTGACCTAAAAAGAAAGATACAATTACAAACATGCATGGTACATAATGCTGTTGTTTCCTTATACCAAAAGAGCTACCGACCATGAGGTTTGAGAATGAAGTTTTCGGAAGATTATTTAATATCTTGGAACATTCACTATTGATAGTTCTTTACATTATAAAAGTGTAACATCACACAATCATCAGTCTTAGAATTTAAAATTCACAAATTATGATCATAGACAGGTCTGTGAGATATAGATTTATAGACCTTTTACGAAGAAAAACTCACACATCATAGACACAGGGGCCCAAGAATTTGTTACAGCTATAGTTGGACCTAAACTAAGGTGTTCAGAGTAATTTTACAGACTTTCGGTAAAAATGACACCCCCGACGATCATATATATTAAAATATCAACTCCACCTAACTTTCTTGCATCAAATACAACATTTCTAGTTGATCTATGGGAAAAATGCTTAGTACCGATGGAAAGATCGATTTTTTTTCTATTAAACCCCCCTATATGCACGTAAAATGTATTCTCCTTCGATTACCGGAGATATAGATATAGACCTTTACCAAGATAATTTAAGACCTTTACCAAGATAATTTTACTTGCATATTTAGTGGCTGATAACATTAAATTCAGAAAATATGTGCAATAAAATAATAAGGATAAGTTAACAGGACATCGTTCAGCTCACTACCATACTATAACTAATATCATTGTTCCTAGACAACTTGGGGTCTGTTCGTTTATGCGGAACAACCGGTTTGACCGTTAATAAATGTAACAATTTCGGGTATAAATCATGGCTGACCTGCATATATTTATGCAGGCCATGCAAGGCTTTGTCAAGGCTTGCCTGAAAGCAGCATCAGATTACTAGGTCCGATCTTATTTGATAAACGAACAACAGTGGTCTGACCGGTTTGACCGTTTAAAAGAAAACGGCCTAGGTCATTCCCATAGAGTAGATCTACAGTGATTTTCATTGATAGTCTATTGGTCTACTGTTTAGTTCGAATAGTCTTTTTCATTTTCATTACCTGCAATAAAACACAAGAAACCAATTTATTAATATACAAACCGTTGATCCAGAGAAATGGAGAAATCTGAAGTGTCCATGGCCGTGAGTTTTGAGATTTTTCTTTGCTATTTTTTCTATGGTATCCACCAGCTTGACCTCCTAGTCACTACATCATTTCCAGACTTTCTGATTAAGATCGGTGATTCTATTTATCTGTAAAATAATTCAAACCATTTGCCAGAAAATTGTAAGGAAAATCTTGAATAAAACAATTAAAAAAAGGTGGGTTTTTTTACCAAATATACAGAAGCTTGAGGAAATGTTGAAATCAAGGTTTACATTTCCTTTCAAATACAAGTAGAGCTACATACAGACTGTTTCATAAAAAGAATCATGTCATCATATTTAGAATAAGCCCAGAGATTCCTCTGGCCCTGATACCAGTCTAAGACATTTTGACAGATAAATGTGATTTGTCTGGTGTGGGACCAGAGTGCATTACTAAATGACGACGTGGAATTTTCCAACCCAACACCAGATATCTGGCTGTCTCTGAAACTCAGGCCAATTTAAAATTTAAGCAAAACATCTTGAATTATTTTAATCACAGGAGTCTGTGATATGACGTTTCTACCTGCTAACATCAAATGATTGACTATGATTTCATCTAAATTTTACTCTGCGACCTGAGTTATTGACAACAAGAACTGACCGGGAAACTGCAGTATTGGTTCAGTGGTTGTGTAAAAAAAAAAGTATCCATATTGGGATTACTTCTTAATGACCCTGCTTATGTAAATGCAGACCTTGAAGATTTTTACAATGGCTCGCCAGGATATAACCCGGCCTTGTGTTAGAAGTTAGCAAATGGTCAGAGGGTCATCCTATCCAAGACTTTCCTCTGGCCCCAACACAAGACTTTAGACATTTTGACAGATAGATTTCTGGTGACATCGATCTGTCATTTTGTCTAAAGTCTGGCGTCAGGACCAGAGGAAATTCAAGCCAAGGGTCATACCTATTTCATAAAAGCGCAACTAGGAATCTCGAAAAAAGTAAGCTGCCTTACAGTTAAGCACAGACCTGTACTTGCCTCGTCTGCCAATACATCCATCATATGATCAGGATATATTGACAGACGAGGCTAGTTAGTACCTGTGAGTTTACCGTTGCACATGCAGTTACCTGACTTTGTTTCAAATAAATATAGACTGGGTGTATATTTATATATAGGGTTACCCAATACAGAGGCTTAGCCACATGTAAGTGAGTATGTTTATGTCACACCTGAGTGAGAGAGCGTTTACCTGATGTTGTGCATGTGCGTGGCTCGATCTATATGAACGACGCATGCGCGACCACATTTCATCACACCCCACAGTCCCCTTGTCCAGTCACTCCGAGCTGAGCAGCAGATCAGCATAAATGTACATTAATGTACCTGCAGCTATATAGCTTACTGCCACATGATACTGTCTGACCGAGTTTACAGTAACTACTATATGTCTTATTAAATGTAACAATTTAACAAAAACTTTTATTATATCAAATGAACAAACATATGTATAAATTGTCAATTATTACAGATAATAGTAGTTATCAGGAATACGAACGATTACTGTAAGTATATTTGTATTTATTTTACAGGCTCTTTCTTTCCCAATTCAAGAGACATCCAAAGAAAAATAAATGTGAAAGGATATGAAGGATTTGTATGCACACCAAACCTTACATAAAGATTCTCAGCTTACAAATTTCAGTTTATGCTAATAACAACGAAGGTGTTTGAAATTATGACTGTAAATTGAGATAGAAATAATTAAAAAAATAAGGGTATTACTACGTAAATAAAAGTATTTTTATCTTAATTTGCAGTCAGAATTTCAAACACTTTTGATAACAAAAACTGACAGAATGTATAAGTTAATTATTTGGAACCTTCATGAAATAGAGTCATAGTTGACTTAAATTTTCAACCAGCGAAGAAACGTTCCGTGTCTAACTAGTCCTCTGTATCCTTACTTACAAAATTAGTGCCTGTGTACAATTTATACAAACCTTCCATCGTGATTCCCGCTGGTATAATGTTTTACAAAATATCGATGTGTTAGATACAAGCGAAACGCACTCGTAATATTCTCCTTAATAAGTATTTTTTTACAGTAAATTCTACAAATTTATATTTGTATATATAATGCTTAATGTGATTGATTAATACAAAATAAATTATTAATAGATAAACAATAAAATTAAAAATAAAGCCGTTATCATTTGCATCAGTTTGGAAGATTTCATAACCAACATTAAAGATGGCGTCGAAGAAAAAACGTGTGGCGGAACCGATGACGACAGAAAGTGATTCCAATGAAAGTGGCAACGATGACTTTGACGACGACGAAATGAACGATGGAAATGAAATTGATACACCGATAAATGAGGTATTATAATATGTTTTACGGCACGGCCGTTAGTGAGGGCGTAGCCAGATTGTACTGTAAACGTTTAGGTACCCGGTAGTTTCGGTACTTCAAAAAGAAGATGTTTCGGTACTTTTTGTAAGTCGTTTCGGTACTTGTATTTAAGTTGTTTCGGTTCTTCAACAATTTTGATTATTGTTTCGGTACTTCCTTTATTAGGTAATAAATATTTCTCCATTGTTATTTATTGTTGGTCGTTTAGTTAACGTTTGCTTTTGTAGTTGTTTAAACAATCACGCAGATCAGTCAATCATTATTTTATTTAACATTTGGTGTGTAGATCGGAGTAGCTCTTTAGGAGAAACTCAACGTTGAGGGAATTCACCAACTTGTCATAAAAATGAGGGTTCCACTATCAAATTTATCAAAAAACTCATCATGTTTTAGGCTGATACGTGTATTCATCAGTGTGACAGCGTTCCATTTACAATGGAAATACCTATTGTTATTGTTATGTGTTTTCTTATTATTCTTAATTGATTATTATTAATACATTATATATACATACGTATATATGTCAAGCTATACTTATTATTAGAAATTATTGAAATAATGGTGACGTTGACTATAACTTGGTACCAAAATGTGTTTTCCATAAGTACCGAACGATTTTCAGAAGTACCGAAACGACCGGGTTTAAGTACCTAAACAACCTGATTTCGGCGCTGAATTCCTCTTTCAAGTATTGAGTGATGTGTTAAATTAATAAATCAGACCTGCATATTGTACATAGTGTATATTACAGTTAAATTTCCGTTCTTGATTGCATACGAAATTGCCATGCTACCTTTCCAGGTTGTTCTTGTTGTTATAAAATGTATAAGTAGTTGATATTTGCTCCACAAGAATGTTTTTTATATGCTTCTATTTAGCTAAATTTATGATGAAATATATTATATATATATGGAATTTTGTCTAAAATTTATACAAAATAACACAAGAATGTTTTTTGACCAAGATTGGTTAAAAATTGTCTTAGGTTCTTGAGAAGTCAAACATGTTAAAAGTTTACTAACACAAAAATAAAGAAATGGAGTATACATTAGTATATAGGAGACCCCGTTTTTATGTTGTGGTGAGGCATCCGTCCTCGTCCGTCAACTTTTCTTTTAAACAACTTCTTCTGAAGAACAGACAGGCCTAGAGTCATGATATTTGGCTGACAGCTTTGTTGGTAGGAGCCCTACAAAGTTTGAGAATGAAAATTAGTTTGACCTACTTTTAAGGTGACAGGGGTCAAATATGTCAAAAACTTCAAACGACTTCTTCTGAAGAACTGAAAGGTATAGAATCTTTATATTTGGCTGGTGACTTCCTGGGATAGAGCTCACAAAAGTTTGCGAATGAAAATGACCTCAACCTACTTTAGAGGTTACAGAGGTCAACAACATTTTAATGGATTTGTTCTTAAGAACTAAAAGGAATGGATTCATAAGATTTGGCTGGTAGCTTTTGGAATAGAGCTAACCAATTGGAGAAGGAAAATGGCATTGACCTACTTACAAGGTCACAGGGAAAAATATGTCAAGCAACTTCTGAAGAATCAAAAAGCATAGAATCTTATAATAATATTTTGCTGGTAGTTTCAACAGATGGAGCCAACAAAGTTTGCGAGGGAAATATTTTTAGTGCAATATAATATTTAATGAGAATATTTTGCTATGACTGCTTAAATATTCAGGTGAGCGATACAGGCCCTCTTGGGC